GAAAGCCTTCCAGCTGGCTGCCTCTTAATTGGCTCACTGGATGACTGGCCTGGGTGGGGGAAGAATGCTCCATGAGGTTAAGGGTATTACTCAGGAGTGGCCACATCTGCCAGATTGGCCTTATGAAAACAAACAAAAAAAAAAAACCCTAAATTTTCCGGCATATTTCTGCAGTGGGAGGCAAGTGTCCATGACTGCTCCTGTAACTGGTGCTTGTCTCAGTGGACCACATACTGGAGTTGACAGTGGCATTACCATATGCTCAGCACCTCCCTAAATCTGCATTCTTGCCCCTATACATGTAGTGGTACTTCGTGAGAGGAGGAGATGGAGTCACTCAGGCATGGGAGTGAAGGGCAGGCTTGCCACAGAAGAGAGGAGGGATAGAATGCAGTGGGTGTGCATAGAGGAAGCTGGTTACAGTAGATAGGAAGACTTAGCTCCAAAAGCAAATTCATTCCACCTGATCCATTTAATCTAGGCACTAATTGTAACTTTCACCTGTCCTCTGTCATTTTTCAGTGATACTTTGGCATTCTCAGCAAGGAGAGGGGCATGAGCAGAAGCTGCTGCCTAGTTCCTACTCCTACCCAGCTCCTTAGTGATGATATTGTCTGAATCCCTCCACCCAATTCTTTCACAGCGTGGAAATAATCTCAAGTCTCTAAGGGAAATGAAAATCAGATCACTCTCTGGAAAAGTTCAGGAGTTTTGTATAAAGGCCAGGGAATGGGGCATTAATCCTAGGTGGTTAAATGAACTGTTAAAACAAATTGGGGTTTGGGGCTTATTATTGGCCTAGACCAAGACACAGTACTTAGTACTTGGGGATAGGAAATATATATATGTGAAAAATGAAACAAGGTCATATGCTAGAAGTTGTAAGAAACTCCCTCATGGATACTTTTGTCTTATGTATGTGGTCCCCAAGACAAATAAAGAAGAGATGATTCTAAAGAGGGAAGGGAGGGTGATTTGAATCTTCTAATTCAGTGTTCTCGACCAGGAATGATCTTATCCCCTTTGGGACATTTGGCAATGTCTAGAGATGTTGTTGGTTGTCACAACTGGGAGCTGCCACTGGCACCCAGTGAAGAGGGGCCACTAGCCTTAGCACTCCACAATGCACAGGACAGCCCCCATCACAAGGAATTATTTGACACAAAATGTCAATAGTGTTGAAGCTGACAAACCCTGGACTAGAGCAATGGTTCTCACACTTCAGTGGGCATGAGAATCACCTACAGGATTTCTTAAAAACAGTGCTGGGGCTGGGCACGGTGGCTCACACCTGTAATCCCAGCACTTTGAGAGGTTGAGGTGGGCGGATCACCAGGTCAGGAGTTCGAGACCAGCCTGATCAACATGGTGAAAACCTGTCTCTGCTAAAAACACGAAAAATTAGCCGGGCGTGGTGGTGCACGCCTGTAATCCCAGCTACTCAGGAGGCTGACGCAGGAGAATCACTTGAACACAGGATGTGGAGGTTGCAGTGAGCCAAGATCGCGCCACTGCACTCCAGCCTGGGCGACAGAGTAAGACTCCATCAAAAAAAAAAAAAAAAAAAAAAAAAAGTGCTGGATCCCACTCCACTTTCCAATTCAGTAGATAGGGGTGGAGTCAGAATCTGCATTTCTAACAAGTTCCCAGGTGACACTGAGGCTGATGTTCTGAGGAGCATATTTTTGAGAACCCCTGCCCTAGTTCTTCCCCCCAGTTGCCCTTTAAATTATCCCCCTGCTTGAGAATGTGGTTACACCGACCTTAGCCTGGAGCGTTGATGCTATCAACGCTCACAAAGGAGAAAGCAAGAAGCTCCCTTTTAAGCAAGGAGACTTCCCAGAGACTTAATTAAAGTTTGGGAAAGTATCCCAGGAGGTGGGGGTGGGAGGGGGTCAATAAAATTGATCCAAATAAATTCCTTGCACATATAAAATAAAACTCACATGCACAAAAAGAAATTTGATCAATAAATTAGTAAATTCAGAGTGAGGAGGGAGTAATTAACAGGCCCATTTAAAGTGCGGAATACATTAAATACAGAATGAGTGACTCCACCGGGACCACTGAAGCAGGAAACACCGATGCGTTTGAGAGGCCTGGAAGATTAGAAACATATTTCAACAAGGAGAAAAGAGGAGAGAGAATGGAGAGCCCAGAATGATGAAGATGCTGGGTGGGGGTGGGGGTGGGGGTGGGGGTGGGGGTGGGGGCGGAGGCGGAGGAGGGATATGTATCAGAGCCTTGGGAGCCTTGGATTTTGAAATCCTACAAAGTTTAACAAAATTGCAGCTTTGCTCTGGTGTATCTCCCGGGCATAGGAAACTTTTAAGTAACCTGCTGCAAGAGCTATTCAAGCCACACCTGGTCCCGAGCAGTTACTATGTCGAGTCTCTTTATATTGGAGTAAATGAAAGGTTTAATCCCAATTGGAGCATAGCAAAACCTTATTGATTGAGAACAATCCCAGGGTTATCTTGGACACCTTGCCAATCTACAAGATCCCCTGCCAGAAAAGCTGTGGCAAAGCGGACTCCACTACCAGTTTAAGCCAGAGTGGAGGACCACATAGCCCATGGTTGAGGGAAGTAAAGTTCTGAGGCAATTCACTACTGAAGGCAAATAAATAGCTGTCCTGTATAGACACTCACACACTAAACATTTTCCCCAAAAGGTGGGACATGAAGGAAACCAAATGTATGACTCATGGCAGAGCCATAATTGTATAAATTGCTGCTAAGACAATCCAAGTTACACCTAACTTTTAGGCTCTCAATAAATGTTAGATAGCTTGCTTTGAGCTTGATTTCAGGGTCCAGTTCCCCATTTCACCCCCAAAGGAGTCCTGTTGGCAACTTGGCAATGGAAAACTAAATTGGATCAGCAGTGAACACGAATCATTGTAATAATTCCTTTATATGTGGCGGAGAACAACATCTTGGCCAATAACTGCATCAACAAGAAGCAGAACTCTTCTCTGCCTCTGTCATACCCCCTGAGACTTACATGAAATGTAAGTACTAGTTTATCATATAATGGTGTTCAGTCTAGTTCCACGCATTTCACTCCGGATTTGTGAAGGGCTGGGAGGTGATTTTCGCTTTCAATGGAGACGTGGTCCCCTGAGACCATTAAGAAGACTCTTTCCAAGCCTGGGAAACATAACTCTGGTATTGAGGGAGGAGCCCACAGTGCAATTCAGAAGACATTAAAGCAGGTGTCTTCAAATATCTCTGAGCCTCATTTTCCTCACAGGTATATTAGGACCCAGCTTAGCCTTAGTAAAGCAGGTGAGAGGTTGCTATGTTTAAAGCTGCTTCCTCTGTTTTTTAATTTCCCTCTGCCATTTTCAATCAGGACTTCCTCATTAACCGGATGGGAAAGTTTGCAGAGCCAAACCTGCAGCAGATTCCCTCAGGCGATGTTTTAGTTCTAGTGCTTCCCCAGGCTTTAGGCATAAAAGCGCCTCCGAGGGTGAGGTGACTTGCCACACATTTGGCTGACACCTGCCTATGAAGAGAGACGTCTGAAACCACTTTCCCAGAGCAGCCCTGAAGCAGTCAACTCAGTGAAGTCTTTAGCAGGCTTTCTTCCTAGTCAGACACAGATCCCGATGCACAGCCCAAGGATGAATTCTTAGTCTAGTAAGCACTTCCAACCTGCTGGTCAAGCCTTTGCTGTCACCACGTGTGGCTTACATACCTCTCAAAATGTGAGGTCAGTTAAAAGGCATAAAGCTGCAAAGTCCCAGACTCTAAGAGGGAGCAGGCCATGCAGTCTAAACTCCGTTTGGACTGCAGCATCCCAGATAAAGAGGCATCCCACCTTGGAATACCTCTACTGGGAGGAAGCTCAGCACCCCACGAGGCAACCTCTTCCACTATTGAACAGATCTAATAATTAAAAGCCCATCCTTTTACCCAGTCTCCATCTGCCTCCCAATGTTTCCTGTGGAGCTACATGGAATATGTCTGCTGATCCTGCTACCTGATGTTGTTTCCATTGTGTACTGTGTCTTAGCAATTACACTAGATGGTTTGTGAGGGCATGGACCATGTCTCCTGCTTCTTATGCATCACTATAGTGCTGGTGACCAGCTCTAAAATTACTGGGTAGTGTTCTTAGTTGTGCTCAGTCTCTTCACTTGTAATCACTGTTTCTTCCCAACCCCGCCCTGTCAAGCCTGAATTATATTGATTCTAACTTTACCCTTCAGCTCATACCAGGGCACTATCATCCAGGGGTAAAGTTCATGGGCATCCTTGAGAAATGCCCACAGTAATGAAAACAATCGGCTTGAACTCCACATCATTCTTCCAACATACATGTGCATGTGTGCACACACACACACCATCAGTCTTTGTACCTAGGTGAATGCAAACACAAATGAACTTTAAGGGCTTCCTTGAAGGGGGAAACAAATATAAAATACAATATAGAGTCCGAGGAGGGTGACTGAAAAAGAGGAAGTGAGAGCATATTAGACTTCTTGCCTTAAGGTATTACCAGCACAACCGCAGCCAAGCATCTCTCTCCCGGAACCATTTGTATCTGTGAGTCAGGTAGAAAGTGCAGAACCGTAGATCCCACCCATGGGAGGCAACCTCCGCCTCCCTGGTTCAAGCGATTCTACTGCCTCAGACTCCTGAGTAGCTGGGATGACAGGCATGCACCACCACGCCCGGCTAATTTTTTTAACCAGTAAAATAGTTTGATTTTAAAATAGTCATCAAAGTGAAAATTTCAGCTGGGAGTGGTGGCTCAGGCCTGTAATCCCAGCACCTTGAGAGGCCGAGGCGGGCGGATCACTAGGTCAGGAGATGGAGACCATCCTGCCTAACACGGTGAAACCCCGTCTCTACCAAAAAAAAAAAAAAAAATCAGCCAGGAGTGGTGGCGGGCGCCTGTAGTCCCAGCTACTCAGGAGGCTGAGGCAGGAGAATGACGTGAACCCGGGAGGCGGCAGAGCTTGCAGTGAGCCAAGACCGCGCCACTGCACTCCAACCTGGGCCAAACAGCAAGACTCCATCTCAAGAAAAAAAAAAAAAAGTAAAATTTCCCAAAGCTGGGAGTAACAATCTAGAGCCAGTGTTGGGAGGAGGGGCCAGGCCTCACTCAGAGCCCAGCTTGAGACCCCTGAACCCCACCCTCCCTTCCAGAGGGAGGGAGGAAACAGCTGAAGAGAGCCCTGAGTTGGTCCTCTCCCTCATCCCTGAGGCCAGCTGTGCTGGGCCCCTTGAGGCTAACAGCTCAAGCAGAGGATTGGGGGGAAGGGAAACAGGTAGGAAACAGAAATTAGAGGTTAATAACTCCAACAACATCCACCACCAAAAAAACAAAATAACAAACTTGACTATGAAAGGACGATGGAAGATGAATACTGATAAACTCTTCAGCTCCCCAGAACAGCCCAGTTTGGGCTGGGTTGAGCTGATTGGAGGAAAGGTCTTGAGACCCAACTGCATGTTACCTCTGGAGAATAAATATTCTAAGAAAAGGGGAAAACCATGAGGCAAGCCTCTGTGGTCAAAGTCAACGCAGCTGACAGGCCTGGTGCGGCCCACCTCCCGACCCCACTCACACAGGGAACAGCTGTGCAGGTCTGGATAGAGAAGAGGTCAAGGGCTTGGACTGGGGACCCTGAGCTGTCAAGGTGTGGGGCCTCCTTGCAGTTCCCATGCAGCCATGGCAGGAAGGCCAGCAGAGGCCCTAGTAGAGCTGGTTGCCCTGCTCCTGAGCCTGGATCAGGCTGTCCTTGCATTGCAGGCGGTGAACCCCCATTCTTTTGGGGCTGTGCTGGGGGTAGCTGGAGCTGGGGAGTGGCCAGGTCCTGCCCTCAGTGTGGGAAGTGCCAGGACCCTCCTCTGCGACATTGTTAATGAGCAGCAGGCTCTGGCGCTCTTCCTCAGGGCTGATGGGCAGGTTCAGCTTTTCTTCCTCCTCCCTGGAAAAGCCAGAGTCAGGTTCCCTGGGAAGCAAAAGCCTACTCTCTTTGGTTCCCAGAGAAGGTGCCTGGACCACCTCATCTCTGTCAACAGGGCTATGGGCAAAATGGCGCTGCAGCTCAGGGAGGGCGTCACATTCAAAGGCTGTACCCTGAGCCACAGTGGCAGGTGGCGGAGTATGGTCCACAAATGCCCACTGCCAGCTGGCCAGCAGGTCCTCTTCAGAGGTTACAGACCTGGCTGGGGCACTGAGTGTTGGGGGCACTGAGCTGGGCTGGTGGTTGGGTAAGGTCTAGGCTGAGGCAGGGGTGCTGGGCACTGGGCTGGGGTAGGCCCGCTCACTCCCCTCCTCCACCAGGCTCAGTGAAATGGCCTGGCGGGTAGCGTAAGTGCAGTTGGGCAGGGAGCTGTTGCAGGGGATCCAAACCTTATCCTTAGAGAACTCTATTACCCTGCAGCCAAGATACAGTGGGTGTGGTGGAGATGGGGTGGGGTAGGGGCTCAGCTTCTCAAAGGCTGGCAGGGGCAGCTCTTCCTCCGGGGAGCCCCCAGCAGCACCCAGAGAGTGGCACTCCCCATTGGGTTGGGTGGTGGGGCTGCCAGGAGCCGGTGAACTGGCTGGATTACCTGGGGCACCCTCACTGATGTCCACATGCACAAAGACATCTTCAGCCACGGGGCGCCCAGCGCTGCTTGACTGGGCTGAATTCAGCAGTAGAGACTCTGGATTCTGTAACACTCGGGCAATGACCAAAGTAGGCACCACAGCCGCTGGGGCTAGGCTGGGAGCAGGACCTGGGCTGGTGGCCTCTTGACCACTATGCAGATGTTTTCGAACCACATCCTGTAGCTCACAGGGCAGATGGGAGAACTCGTAGTTTTGGAAGTGGGACTTGTTGCACTTAAGGAGCTGCACAGCCAGGTTGCAGTCCCCCTAGTACCGCTCGTTGAGCTCCTCCAGCTTGTTGATAGTGTTCTTGGCATCCAAGCAGCTTGTTGGTCAGTTCCACGATCTCCCAGTTCAGCGTCTGCCTATCCACCTCAGCCTTCTTGATCAGTGTGTGCAGCTTGTCCTCCAACTCCTGGTTGGTCTGCTGGGAAGTCATGTAGCTGTTCGACAGCCTGCAGAACTTATCCTTAAACTTGTCCAGCTCCTCGTGGCTCTGGCCCAGCTCCAGCTCCAGGCAGTCCTGCCCAATTTCCAGCTCACATTCCAGCACCTCAGTGCATCTCATGGCCGAGGCCAGGCGCCGACGAAGCTCTTCATTATCCTGTTGCGAGAGCTTCATCCTTTCCAAGTCAGTCAGGGATTCCTCCTGCTCAAACCCGGATCCGGGAATTTCCAGTCGCAGCTCCCGATGCTCTGGTGGTGTCTTACGGTAGGGTTTCTTAGCAGGGGCTGCACTGGTCATTTTGGGAGGTGACACCTCCTCCACCTGCACTTGTTTGTCGGCAGCTCTTTCTGTTCCACTGTCCGGGAGTTAGCCCCCAGCTCTCCACATCCCACGGCCCCTCCACTTCCTTTAGCCAACAGCTCTTTCTACCGTTGCCAGCTGCGTTCAGGCCGCCATCTTGCTGTGGGGCAGGCCAAGTAGTGGCCAGGGCTGTGGGAATCCCCACGCACTTGGCGCCTCGCGTCATCGCGGGCGGGGCCCCTTTGTAATTGTTAAACATATGTATGTTTTGTCTCCTCCTGTAGACTGCAGTCTCATTAAAGGCAGGGACTGTGATGGTTATACTTCTGCATTTACTTCAAGGCCTGGTATAAAAAGGGGCACACAGCCAGGGCTTAATTAAACGTTTGGTTTAGAAATATCTAGAACTGAAGACTAGCAGTGAGTCAGGTAGACAGCTTAACCTAAGATCCTTGCATTATTAAGAGTTTTTTGAAACACTAATTGCAAAGCATGCATCATCATAGTGTGATGGAACCCCCTTGGCAAAAGATGCCCAAATCCTCTCTTCTTGCAAACCCAAGACACACAACCTGTTGCTCACTATGCTGTTTTTTACACACAAAGTTCCATCTGGGCACATCCTGGTGGTCCCTTGTCAATGTGGCCCCTGTGAGCTGTGTCTCCAGCAGTGGGGATGGGTTTGGCTGAGCCATCCACAATCCTATACTTGGGACACAATATTTGTGAATATTACAGATGAGGCTAGAAGCATAGCTTGGAGAGAAATGCCCACCTTCACGAGAAACCTTGCAAAGTTCTCTTGAAGAATCGCCTGGTTTCTAACGGCCTTCCTATAGCAAGAAGGAAATGAACACATTGTGTAAGAGAGTTTTTGTATATGACTGGCATGATAGTGTGACAAGTCCTGGTTAAGACTTCCTCAAGCATTATGAGTATGTGTGTACAGAACATGGCTCCCAAGGACATGAAGTAGGTGGGATAGGCAACGATCTGTGTACTGCGAACATGCCTCGAGAACTTTTGTACATCCTCTACCTGGTCTGGTCTCTTCCTTCCACCCCTCATTACTAGGTCCTTCTCAGTCTTCAGGCCTCAGCCTAAATGTCACCATCTCCAAGAGATCTATAAGGAAAGCTCCCTTACCATTATTCTTCATTTCTACTTGCTTTCACAGCATTTCCCATAATTTGTGATTTTAAAGATATATTTATTAACTCATTTTGTCTGTATCACCATACTTAGAGTTTAATAAACTCCAGTGAAGACAAGGCCATCCATGCCTGTTTCACCCACCTACTGTATCCTGCACAGGACTTGGCACAGTTAGTACTCCAAAAATTCTTGGAATAAAGTATTATAAGACCATGTGACAGAACGGAAAACACAAAGAATTTCAAGTCAGCTGAGCTGGGTTCCAGTTGCAGTGTGGTCATTTCCTACCTGTGTGATGTCAGACAAATCACTTAACCTCTCTGAGCCTCATTTTTCTCATTCTTATCTGAATTAATATCACCTACCTCATAATGCTTCTGCGGGGGGAATAACATAATTAATGAGAAAGTATTTGGTAGAGTCCTGAACAGACATGAATCATTTTGGTATAATGAAGCTGCCTGAAATAGTACCCCTGCTTTGTCTCTAGGATGTCCTAGAAGCACCTGAAAACTGTACCATCAGTCACACCTTTGGATTAATGTTATGGAAGACACATATTACATTGAAAACTATTGTGTACCTTTAATATGGGCATTTGACCTTATCATTCACCTGTTGTATTAGTCCAGTCTCACACTGCTATAAAGAAATATCCAAGTCTGGGTAATTTATAAAGGAAAGAGGTTTAATTGACTCAGTTCTGCATGGCTGGGGAGATCTCAGGAAACTTACAATCATGGCAGAAGGCAAAGGAGAACCAGGCACCTTCTTCAAAAAATAGCAGGAGAGAGATGTGAGAGTGCAGGAAAAAACTGCCTCTTTTAAAACCATCAGATCTCGTGAGAATTCACTCACTGTCACAAGAACAGCATGGGGGAAACCACCCCCATAATCCAATCACTTCCCTCCCTTGACATGTGGGGATTACGGGTCCCTCCCTCAACACGTGGGGATTATAATTCAAGATTAGATTTGGGTGGGGGCACAGAGCCAAACCATATCAGCTGTCTTAGCATTGACTTAGCTGAGAGCAGGGCCCAGGCTAGGCGATTTCAGGAAAGGGGTGATGGAAAAAGAATCTTGAGATGCCTTAAGCTTACAAGACTTTTAGAGAGTAAATGCAGGTCAGAAGAGGGGCAACTGCATGGTGGGGACGGGTGGGCGCCTGGTGAGGCCTAGGGGAAGTCAGAGTTGTTAGGCAGAGGGAAGACATAGAAAGGGAAGTGGAGGGGTCAGCTACAAACTTTCTCTACTTGGCGTGTGTGTATATCAGATACACTTAACTTTACAGAAACCATGTATGTGCATTGGAGAGAGGGGAGGAAAGCCAAAGAGCAGGAAACGGACACCAAGGGAGCTGTACTTAATCATAATAACCATTAGTATTGACTTTGGTGCCATCTTAAAGGAGCCATTTGTTATAAGAACCAACAGTCAAAACCCCAAGCCAGTCAGGCTTTGTCTTATGAGCTCTAAAAATAATGGTATTTTGCTGTTCATCTGTTTTAATTTTCCAAATTCAAATGCAATTTGAAATCAATTCAAAAATTGATTTCTTTCTTCTGAACAAAGAGACATTAAAAGGAGAAAGGAAGGAAGGAAGAAAAAAGGACAGACAGGCTAGGCTTTTTAGTGACTCACATAATAATACCCCAAAAGCAGAAGCCCAAAGCAGTAATTATTTCCCTACCTAAGAAGTATGAAAGGAAAATGGGTGAGAATTATGACCACACGAACAATATATAAAACTTCTCTAGAGCCGGGGCCAGCAAATCACTTACCTGCAGTTTCAACAATAACATATAAAAGCAGAAAGAAACACAGTTAAGGTCAATTGGCTCCTGGTTTTTAAAGTACCACCTCATTTTAATCAGCTCCCCATGCTATTCTGCGTCTCCAGCTGGAAAACCGGCTAAGAGAGATTAGAGTTGTTTGCTCTTTTTTAAGCAGCTTCAAAACAAAGTGGAAACAGTTGAGTGATCTTGCAGTTAAGACAGCTTGGAAAAGGTCAGCAGATTATTTTCCAGCCAGGCCTTTTGAGGGTATCTGCATTTAGGTAGAGTCACCACAATTCAAGTTCTGGCACTCTACAAGATCTTGGTTCTGTCAATTTCCGTAGCCTCAGGGCACTGATACAATAGCAAAACTCACAATAAACAGATACAGCCTGGACCTCCAAGTTGTTCATACATGATGGTGGGATGAACCTATCCAACAACCAGAACACTTGGGCCCACTATTTAGTTCTTCAGGAAATAAACTGAACTCATAAAACAACTCTATAGAAGTGAAAATGAAGATGAACTGCATCCATATCAACCTAGGTTAAAGGATTCATGTAACTTAATTATTTGGACCTTGGTTTTCTTACCTGTATAAAAGAGAATATTTACTACTTAGCATTGTTTTACATGATATTTGAAATCACTTTCATGAGCTGAAGAGTATAGTACAAATGGAAGTGGTTGTTTTTGGCAATAAGAAGGCAGTTTTGTGCACATAGAATCTGAGAAGGGGGAACTAGAGAGTTCTATGGGGAATTTTATACCACTCCACTAGATCCTCAAAAATTCCATATTGCACTACAGAGATCACCTTTCCAAGGACTCAGTCACCACACGTAGTCTTTGTCCTTTGGACCCAGCTGGAGATGTTGAGAAATCTCAGATTTGTATCTAGCTTGTCTTTTTCAAAATTTCTTATTAGACACCAACAGCTTCCATCATTCTGATATCTCATAAGCGTATGTGGAAATCAGTGATATTTCAGATATCTCCCATAAATTTCCTCTGAGATGGAGGCCTTCCTGGGGACTTTTCCCAACCTTGGCAGCTTACACCTTCATGCATCTGTCTAAGGGGTGCTGCTGCAAAAATTGCACTTACCTACACTGGGAAGATTCATGTGGCCTTTCATTTAAGGGGAATTCTTTTTCTTACCAGATCCACAAATTCTGTACGTGTCCCTCTGTTGAGAGCAACAAGGAATTCTCCCTCAGAGCAAGAAGAGGGAGAGGTGAAATTGGGGAGTGGCAGTGACCATACAGAAAGGATGGTTCTAGATCACTGGAGAGCTAATCACTTCTCTGGGCCAGTGAAACCCGGACAGGATTTGCTACAGGAAGAAGCAGGACACCAGGAAACAAGAAGACCCTGAGGCAAATATCAGAAGTCAGAGTGATAAACCCAACAGGGACTTCCCACTTTCCTTGGAATCAAATTTAAGCTTCCGATCATGGTCCATGAGACCCTGAGTGATCCGATCTCTGCCTGCTTCTTCATCTTCAAATTATGTACTCAACGCCTGCTCCATTCACACTGGCTTTCTTTCTGTTCCATAGACCTGCCCACTCATTCCAGGCTTAGAGACTTTATACCTGCCATTACTTCCATCTGGGGTTCTCTTCTCCCATATCCTTGCCTGAATGAGTCCCTCCCATCACTCAGGTTTCAGCTCAAATGTCACCTCCTCAGAGAGACTTTCTTTGATGACCTTTCTACTAATGTTGCCCATTCCATCAGCCACTCTCTGTCCCATTGCCATGTTTTCTTTTCTTAATGTCACTTACCTGACATTGTAGCACTTTTTTTTGTTTATTATCTGATCTCCTTCAATGAGAGATAGAACAAGGAACCACAATAGGTGAGATTAAGGAACTGTAAGTCAGAGCTTTTAATAGACTGTAAGGAGAGACAAATGCTGAAAGCCAGGGAAGAAATGTCTTCTCTTGTGCATGTGTATAAGCAGACCGGATCAATTTAAATGGACTGGGGTCAACAGGATGTAACCTGCATCAAATACCTACTGTATAACAGCCACTTTTCATATATTATCATCACAGGTTTGCAAAAGATTGAACACCATGCTGATGGCTCCAAGGAATACTAATTCCCTGTTTCCTTATGTCCATGGAGGAGAGGGACAACTGCTCCAATACCTAGGAGGGAACTGAGCTAGAATTCTGCATTTGCTCCTCTCCACCACAGAATGGGCAAACTTAACCAGAAAGTAGAGTCACTTCATTGAAAGAATAATGTGGGTCTGTCTCTTTTCTTTCTAGCATTTTTCAGCTCCTGGTCTCCATTTTGTAAGACTATCTGAGTGAGGACTCTAAATTGCAAAAGAGGTCTTCCATTCTCCAACTTCTAAGACTACAGCTAATTTTAACTTGGGGTAGTCAGAAGTCTCACTTTATCTCATGCCTAAACCTTATTCTCTGGTCAATCTTTAACAGAGAATCTTGTCTTTTATATATAAGCCGAGAGATGGTGGAGTGTGTGGACTTAGACCACTAGGGTTTTCATTCTGGCTTTGACACCTACTGTGTGACTGTCGATAAGTTGTTCAAGATTTCTGTCCCTTAATTTCTCTTCTCTTTAATTTCCTCTTCTCTATATTGAAAATATTAATCATATTTACCTCATAGGTATAAAGATTAGGTAATATGATACAAATAAATATCTGGAAAACCATTAATAAATTTTAGTTATTGTTACTAATAAAAAAATAATAAAGAGGAGACACTGATCTACATCTAATTACTTGTGTTTGTTCTCAATTGGTTAGAGCCAAGCAGGGTAGACAGGTAGACAGACTACCCTCAAAAATCTTCAATATGGCCCAGAAAACTTAGTAAATAAACACAAAGAGTGTTATTTGTGGACCAAAGCATTATATTAAGAGACCAAAGTTTGTGGTGAGCCTCACTAGCACTGGGGTTTGGAGCTTTAAATATGGCTTCATCTGATTTCTCAGGCTTGGGTATGGGTCCATGATATGCAAGAAAAGACCTCTCTTTGGGGTGTCTGGGGCCTTACAGGGATTTAGCTTTGAACAGAGATAAAAGTGAGCTCCAGAGTCAGGAGAAGCACTCTGGGGTATTTAGACTACAAAAGAAGTAGAATTTTTATGGGTTTAAGAATCCCGTGGGAAGAGGGCAAAGTTTTTTTGTTTTTTGTTTGTTTGTTTGTTTGTTTTTTGAGACGGAGTCTCGCTCTGTCGCCCAGGCTGGAGTGCAGTGGCTGGATCTCAGCTCATTGCAAGCTCCGCCTCCCAGGATCACGCCATTCTCCTGCCTCAGCCTCCTGAGTAGCTGGGACTACAGGCGCCCACCACCTCGCCCAGCTAGTTTTTTGTGTTTTTTTTTTTAGTAGAGGCGGGGGTTTCACTGTGTTAGCCAGGATGGTCTCGATCTCCTGACCTCGTGATCCACCCGTCTCGGCCTCCCAAAGTGCTGGAATTACAGGCTTGAGCCACCACGCCGGCTGGCAAAGTCTTTCCTAGAGTTAGGTATGGCTTACCTGGAAACCAGAAGACCACTGAAGCTAGTGTAAGCATTAGCTGATCTCTAGTATACGAGATTAGGCAACAGATTCTTCTTTTTTTCTTGTTAGGGGGAAAACCCCTTGTTATATTTCTCAGCTAGGAATATAATCTAAGGCTTTAAACTATAATAGCAGTTAGATTTCTTATGAGTTAAAGAGAAATAATGTAAAATTTGGGGGCTTTAAATAGTTAGTGTTGGGTGGCTTTATATCACCTGCCAAATTCTATCCCCCTTGATCTTGACTGAAACAGCATGTAGTACCAGGGAAGCCTTAGAGGGACAAATTTTGGATCTGTCTGGAAGGTCCACAGAATCCCAGGAGTCTCTTTTTCCACCCTCCATTCAAATTGCCTATTCAGGAGGATGAGGGCTTCTTGTTTTGTAATTAACAAAGATAAATGGTCTTTTTTTGATATGTTCTCCAAGAGCCCTACTATCATAGGTAGTGAGTGATGGCCAGTTACTCTAGCACTGCTTCTTCCTTGTTCTTCTACCTCTCCCATCTCTCTTCCCAGACTTTGCCATCCACTTATTCTACTGACCCCAA